AAAAAAAAAAAAAGAGGAACGCTTAACCTCATTCATACATATATGAATGGGTACCCTTACAAATAGTGGGGGAAAAACCAAGATGGTTATGAAAGTTCTACTGGAGTATGTGTGGAAAAAAAAGGCCAATGCAGTTACATGGGTAGAAAAGACAATGTTTTTCATCTCATAACATTAAGTTATGAGAGAGAAATAAAAACAGAAATGAGTGAACTTCTCTGGCAAAAATCTGCATTTTGTTAGGGTTAACAGTTTTGTTTCCAAACCAACCACAAAGTCATTGTTAACTGTTCATTACTAGCTCAAGGAATTATTTCAAAGTCAAAATGAGTACTGAAAAAGCAGCACATTCCACTCCTCAGGTAAGGTTTGTAGTGGAGATGAATTCATGTGAAAATGGATTATAGGTTGACAACATTATTTTCGCTAATTATGGAGAGAAGCCTTTCTTGAAATACAGTAGATTTGCAATGTTTTATGAGCAGCTTCGTCTTGGAAGCTTATATCCTACAGAGACTGGAGACAGAGACTGAAGTCCAGTGATGCAACTGTATCCAAGAGAAGATTTTTGAAAACTAAAACCCTTTATTCCCTAGTATAATGTATGCTAGGAATCGTTTCTAATTGAAATTTGAAGCCAGTTAAAATAAATTGAATGAGGGTTCTTTCCTAAATGAACTTAGGATATTATCAACTAATTGGTTTTTCCATTAAAAATGAAAATAAAATAACATCTACTTTGTCTCACAGAAGGATAATGTAGATGTTGGTCTCTGGCGGCATACCACTGCTTTGGGCTGTAATTTCCAACAAATGCTGTAATTTCTACCAAATGGAGTATCAAAACAATGGCAATTACGCTTTGCACCTTTTGCTTAAGTCTAAATCTAATTCCTGTAAGCACACCTGGCTGAAAGAGAAGATTGAAGAGAGATTCACTGTAATATCAAGTGTAAAAACCCACAGCTTTATTACCCTTGGTAATGAATACTTGATACAGCTGACCACCACTTTTGCTTTTTTCCTATGAAGAGAATTATGTCCTCTTAGACTTACACCACTGTAAAAATCCCCACAGAAACAGAAGAGCTTAGTCATCATGTATTTTAACTTAAATACTTTTTCTTTTTAATACTCAGTGGGTCCTCAATATACCAAATACTGTCAACGGACAAACACGCACCAAAGACAAACATGTACAAATTCTTGAGCGATGACATAGGAGACAGGCCAAAATAAAAATCAGTGACCAAAAAAGGAAGCTAACAAAAACAACAAATGCAATTTTTGGACATCAAACCATCTCTTTAAAGCAACCCCCATGCAAAATTTATTATTTACTGCTTCTAGGCGTGTTTTATACATGCTGTGTGTAACACTGGCTCTTCTGATGCCCACTGGCATTTTGCCATTCCCTTTGGTGGTACCACGGGTTGGGACATCTACAGCTCTGGTAATAGATTGTGGTTCAAGTCACATTAGTATTTTCACATCCAATCCCACTTCAAAGCACATTTTTTAAATTATATGTGAAATGAGCCACAGATGAGAGAGAACATTCTGTTTCTCAACATCTTAAAAAGCAATAACACAGACTGTTTCACTATCAAATTTATTGACAGAGATCTTCCATTAGTAGGTGTTAACACTCATGAGGTGTATCAGAAATATGAACCTGGAGGCACAGGTCTCATTTTCATCCATAAATAAGTACATTATCAAACAGCTGAATACAATCTATTAGGAGACAGAGACAGCTAAGGGGCTTTGGGGTTTTTTGTTGGTTTTTTAAAATCAACTCAATCTGCATTTTCTTTCCATGCTCTTGAGAAAAATCTGGCTGTCTAGTACCATTTATTTATTGGTTATATATTTCCCTGAAATGTCGTCTTCTGAATAGGAAAAAAAGTGTAAAAACCCCTTTCATTATCAACTGCATTCTCGAATAAAACACAATAAAGTCTATCCAAACCAAGCTACAGCTCTTTCCTCACAGTCATTATGCCATTTGTGCATTAGGAATGAAACCGAAATCATTTAATGAGTAAGCAAAAGACCAGATACCAACAGGTGACTTGTGGTTAGAATGGAACAATCTAACAATCCAGAGATGGTAAAATCTGGTTTTACTTTACTAATCCCTTGAATAGTACAGTCCAGTGTCACTACACAAGTAACTATCAAGTATTTGTCAGCTTCTGATCTCCAAAAACTAGCATAACAACATAAAAAAGGGAGTGGGATTCTTTGAACTTCATGAAAATAGTTGGATATATGCAGGTGACTTTCAGTACCTCTGATACTGATCAGAAACAAAAGTGAAAGAAAGAAAAGAAAATTACTAACCAAGACCTCATCAGCATCTAGCATTTCAGCAATTAAAGTTACTTGAATTCCACATTCTTAAAATGACTACCAGCAGAGTGCCATCCTTCCACAGAGTAAGAGTACACTGAATCTTGCTGGTAATTGTTTTGCATAGTAGAAGAATTATTTACTAATATTACCTAATTCTTCTTCCATGGTGGGACCTTTATTCTGAGAATTGGAGACGCCAAGTACTCTGTTAAATAATATAGAAAATGCACTGCCCCAGACGCCTGAAAGGGAAAAAGTAAACAATGAATGGAGGCTGGTAGAAGAAGAAAAAACATATACTGCCCTATTTAAGCAGTTGCTTGCTCTCTGAACACACCTCTGATTTTGGAACATGCCAAGTCATAAACTCAGACGTACATACCAGAAACAAAAAAACAGGGAATGCCAATCCATGTCTGTGAAATCTTTCAAATGGATGTCTTCCAACAAATCGAGAACTCTACTTCTTGTCTCACGCTTTGTGTGATTATATTTAAAAACCTTTGTCCGTGAGCTACTGAAATTAGTTTTATTTTAAAGTCTCTTTCTGTCACATACTCACCCATCAAGAAATGCAAGGGATTTTCACTATACTTCTTCACTACTGTCCCCATAAAAAATTTGCTTCCGAACAAATCAGGAGACATAAAAGTGCCATACTTTGCCATACCAATCTCATACGGACTGAATTCCACCCAGTCTGCAAAACAGGAAACACAATTGTGCTTAGTTAGCAATCTCAACCTGAATAGAAACAGAGGATGAAAATACATAAATGAATGAAACCCCTGTCCAAGCAAAGACATTTTAGTTAAATGGGAAGCTGAATAACCAACAGGAATATCTCTTAGATTGTGCAGAAGTCAAAATTTTGATTTCAAATGAAGGACAATCTAATGTCTCAGTAGAGAAGGAATTCTCATTCTCATTCTCTCTTACCACAACAAACTTTGGTGAAAAAAAATGAAGTAAAAACAGAAGTATAAAAGTAGTGATCACGAATGAGAGAAACAAAATGACATCTGGTTTTCATCTCATGCTTCAGTAGGATTCCCTGTCACACGAAATGCAACGTGGGTGTAAGTTCCAAGTTTCTTTTCTTTCACTGTGATCCTACCAAAAATGTGGAGGGCAGCAACAAAGGTGGCAGAAAAATTATTTAATATCACAAAAGTTGTGAAAGATTCTAGGAGAGGCATTTGTGTTCCACCGAAACCTAAAGTTTCTAGCAAAATCCAATATGAAAAGGCAAAGCTGAGAGGCAACTGAGAAACTTATTAATACCAAACAAGGCAAAACATATTTTTAAAAGTACATGCCATTTTACTGAATAGAAAGGTCAATAAAAATATGGAATAAAATGTTCAAATGCACTTTCTGATCTTAGCAGAAAATTTCAGAAGTGATTTACATTCTATGATGTATGCCTTTTTTGAAAATGGATTTTAGCTGATTTTGAAATATTTTCTTTGATACCAGTAGAGTTGCTTACATCAGAGAATTCATTTCAAAAAGAGCGCAATACAAACAAAAAATACCTGACATTTTTAGTATTTCACCCATTCATCTATTTCATGTTCCATATTTTTAGTAGTGATCTATTTGACTGCTTCTGTAAACAAATTAGAAATAATTCTGAACTAGAAAGGCAACAGAAACAGCTTTGAAAAAGCCCCACAAGTCATACAATGTCATCCACTCCTCAAGATATTCAGTGTTTCTGTTGAAATGTTAAGCATAAGGTTAGCAACTCATCCTGAAAAGGCAAGATTTAATCATGACTGCAGAGAGTTTCGTTTCGTGGGGCAATGCTTATCTATGCTAAGTCAAATACAACATCCTATTTTCCAAATAAACCACCCACAAATCTTCACATTTATTGGAACAGAAGGAAATTCCTTTGAAGACCCACTCCAGGAATTTAACAGTATTTCCCTTTAGATATATAAACAGGAATCAGCAGATATATATTCAGAACCATGTTGACTAAATTTAGAATTAGAATTAATTTAATCTGTGATAATCCACTTTTATTCTTCTATTTGAAGAAGATGATTTCTCAAATCACATATCCTGCTTAGGGAAATAAGATTTCTGCCTTAAAATGAAGGGGCTTCAGCATTAGCTTCTGCCATTCCAGAAGCTCCTTGAGACAGTGGCCATTTAAATGAGCAGGACCTGAATGTCCTAAGAGACAGGAACTCTATACCAAGACAAATACTTAGTTTTTATATCCCAGTAAGTTGGGTTAGTTCCTTGGCTGGGGTTTAATCCAAAATGTGCTAAAGTCAAACCTCTCAGCTGTGTTCACTGCATTTTGGATGTAGCCCTGATGTAAGTTAGATCATAACTCTACAGTGCTTCATACCAGCTGAAGATGCAACAGATTTTTCCTGTTCTCAGGAGGGAAGACAGGGAGGTAATATTTTGCCAGCTTTACGCATTTGGCAGATTCAGGATTAGGCACATAAATGCATGGACCGTACTCACACGCCAAGACCAGGCTCACTTTACAGTCCAGCCTTGCTGCACGCATACCCAATCCAGTATGTGTGACGAACGTGGCAATCCGAGCGCCGACTGAAGGATCCCTCTGAAACCTGGAGCCTGGGATCTGAGCGCCATGAATCCATACCTCAAGGCAGCCCTGCTTCCCAAATCAATTCTGTCGCACTGACTGGTATGGAGCAACACACACACTCACCCTCTCACAGACATAAGTTTACTATAATGACTTTCAAGAGCAAAACCCCAAAATCAAAATTTTCACTGATCTGGCATTGCAGTAGATTTGGTGAACAAGGCTGTTAGGGGATGGAAGCACGCAATACCAAAGCCAAACATTAAATTCCACTCCCCTCTTTAACACTGGATATCAGTATCTTAAGGTAATTTCTGATCGTTAAAGAAGCTATCGTAATAAAAAAAAAAAAGCTGTCTTTAACTAAATCACTGTAATTATGTTCACTTAAAATGATTACTGCAAGTTTTGGGTATGGCCGGCGCCACCTGGGTCAGAAATGCTATTGGTAGGGAAAACATGCAGAGCCTGGGGCATGAAAGCTATTAGCAGCTGCATGAAATCTTGCACCATCGCTCCCGGAAGGAATGTTATCTGATATAATTAATGCATTTCAACTTGAAGCAACATGAACGATCTCACCTCTACCTATAATCTAGTAAATAAGAAAGTGTAAATATTCTGTTCATAACTTACTATATATTTCACATCAAGAATAGCTGTTTCAGTTCTAACAGGAGGAAAAAAGCTTACAACAGAAATGATCAAGATCTAGCATCCTATATAATGATATAGATGATAGCCTCCAAAAAGCAAAAATAAGATCCACTGGCAGAGGCAATACCTTTTTCAGACCAATCGGTAAGGCTAGAAAAATTAGACCAGCCTTCCGGTGCTTCTGGTCTTGCTTAGAGAAGGCCATTATTAACTAAAGATAATTCTGTTTTTAAAACAGTAAATAAGTAACCCAAATAAAATGTCTCAGAAAACAGAAGCTCATCAAAAAACAAAATACTTTTATTTTCAAACAAAAAGGTTTCCGTTTCCTAAGGAGGTAAGTAGACATTCTCCCATGAAAAATTTAACCTAATTTACAATCTCATTTTCCATTACAAACAAAGTTTTGACAGCAACTTTTCCAAATAATCTTTTTAGGAAATGTGGTGGATACAATGTCTGACTTATAAACCTTGGGCAAGCCATTTGGTGTTTTCCTTCTCAGTCTTATATATAACTATATAGATATACATATCCTTTTCTTTGTACAGCATCTAGCACAACTGGACCCACTCTCAATTGAGGTTACTAAATGGGATTAAAACCTATGGAATAAATTAAAAAAAAAAAAAAAAAGCAAAAGCCCCTTTTGTGTTACCAACAGTACTTTACACTGTGAAAGAAGTAAAAAAGAGGAAGTATATCTAATTTGTTTGTTCAATTCTCATTTCACTCTTCTTAGAAAGAGGAATAATCTTACATGACTGAAGAAATTTCCCTTTTGATATACTTACCTGTTTGATATACTAATGTTAAGCAGCTTTCTGCTGTTGCAGAAACACCAGTTTTCTTTTTGTCTTGACTCCTGCAATGTACTTAGCTACTTCATAGATAAGCAATATTCTTTTCAATTGGTAGGAAATAATTTTTTTGTAACATACAGAGAAAAAAGCTTGGCCATCACTTAACACTTTACAGAAACCTAAAGAGGCTGTTACTGTGTTAGACTTATTTTCAGGTAAAGAAATAAAAATTAAGGTTTACAAAATGGTCTAAGAATAAGTCTCCAAACCCAAGAATAACAGAGAATTAAAACCTGTTGACCTAAAATACAGTCTGTTTGTCTTTCCATGGACAGGAAAAAATGCATGTTAAAAACCAAGAAAAGGCTCAGTTCCATGGTATGCCATGAGGAGTATGTCCATCTGATGCCACAACCCTGTAACCTTGGTGCAAATACTGCACCAATCGACTCAGTATCCACCTACCTTAGTATGTGATCACTTACTGCTGAGCTAACCTCCTGTTATCAACTCTACCGTCAGATTCCCAGAAGCCGCTAACACAAATGTGTCCATTTCCCCATCACCTTTTAAAACCCATCAGAACCGTCCTTATGATGCTCCTGTTTGGTATATCCTTCAACATCACAACTTCCTATTCTTTTTATAAATTAAAATCTCCCCGTACTCAGTTCATAACAATGCAAATTTTGTCAAGCCCTGAAGAATGTTTCATATCATGGCAAATTCTTTCCTAATCCTTGCCAGAAGACTAACAATTTCAAGGTGTACCAAGTTGCAGGATACAATTATTCTCAGAAGTATTAAAAAATAGGCTTTTTTTCAGCCATGCACTTCTCTCTTCTTTTCACAAGGGGCTTAATACACAGATTGAAAACATACCTGCAAACATCAGCTCTGAGACATCTGGTTTGACATGGAGACATGTAAAGAGTGGGAGAGCACACTGTGCATTATTGATTTTCTCTTTCATGTTGCTCAAAGTGGTGTCCATTCTCTGCATGAAAAGAAAGACATTACATCCAAACGGATCCTATAAAGGTCTGCTGATATTTGGGAAACTACTCATTTCTCTGAAATCCTCAAAGAGAAGGAAAATGGACAAACACAGTTACTTCCAAGAAAAACAGAACAGAAGAACTTGTAAAAGGAAGTAATCTGCTTGAATACCTTTTAAATGCACAATTCAGGAAGGAAGGAGTGAGAGAAGACATGATAGGGAGATGAAATAAGTATGTGTTATAGAATCCAAAATAACATGGCCAAAAAGAAAACAGTATTGCTGGACAAAGCAAGTTCTTTCCTTCGACTACTATAAAAGATGAAAACAAGGAAAAACCTCTTAGGCAGAACCTCCATTAATGATCATGTAATGTTTTTCAATCTGTGCTGTTTCTGAAAAAACAGCAAAGATAACTAAGAAAAGCAAATGGACTATTAGGAGGCTTACATTTGCTAACCAAGGATCTGCATCTCCCCCAGAAAATATTCTGGAGTCTGCAATCAAGAAAGACTGAAAGTCATTATGACATAATGGTACTAAGATGCGTTATCTGTGAATAAACCAAGAGCCTTATTTCCATTTTTCGATGATTGTGTCAGGTTCAGATTTAAGCTAAACATCTGTGCATTGGTTTAACTCCTTAGTAAACAGGGACTTCTAACCAACCTCACAGGATCATTAACATCCCTTCATCGTCAGAAACTCACCCTATATATCGCAGTTACTAAAAGTTGTGTTGCCTGTTTTCCGTATTTTAGTGTTTAAAACCAAATGGCAACATATACTCACGAAAGATACAAGTGTATAAAACAAGCCTGTGAATCTATTAACACATTTCAATCTTACGATAAGATCAAATCCAAATTCTGCTCACCTGACTCATTTGAACTTGAAGTCTGTGTGCCCGATTCAGTCAATTAGGATTTGTCAATAATAGAACATAACAGTATGAAGCCCTCCTGTTGTTTCTTTTTTCAGAAAAACAAGTAATAATAAATAGAGATGTGGATCTTTCACCTTGAAATTAGTATTTTGTTAAGCAAATGCTGCTTTTCTTATAGCAAAATGTGCATAAAAAGGTCACATCATTTTGTAATTTTTTGTTGAAATTGCTCAAGCAGTAATTTTAATGGATGATACACAATGTTAAGAGCTTGCTGCAGGTACCCAGCAGTTGAGTTCATTTTTGTTGCACATGAATGCATGATGTTTTCCTAGCTCTTAAAGAAATGAGTACCATTCAGAAACATGTCCCAGAGCAAGGAAAGCATTTTATAAGTTTATTAACCAGTATCTGTTCAGCTATGACTTTAAATATTCCTTGTGCTAAACATGCTTTGTTAAATGTTACCAAGGTCATTTCAAAAAAATAGTAACAGCAGTTATTACACAGTAGTTTCACAACTCCAATAATCATAAAAAAGTGAACTCACATTATGGATAAGTGTTTCACCTATTAGCATTCCAAAGATATCTGTGAAGGTGACAGGCTGGCCTGAGCTTTTCTTGTTCCACAGTGCTTCAATGTAGCGTTTGACTTTCTGAGGAGTGAGCAGCAGAAGTGGGTTGTGACTCACAGAGTTCATCAATTCTTGATTAATCTCCTTTGGTCCTTTTTCTGGAAAATCCGGGTGTGAATACAAAGTTGACATGTACCTGCAATAGAAAATAGGCTCTGTAAGTATCAAAGCCTGGTTCACTGTCAGCTGCCTGAAACGTACAATAAGCTCATAAATAACTTGATACAATTACTGCTTAAATCAGATTAATTTACTCACCGTTTATAAAGTAAATCGTAATTTCTTTTTTCTCAAGGCATAGAAAGCTAAACAATTTATTCTAAATATAAGCATACAATCAAACACTCAACTACATTTCCATAATGTGTATGATGTAAAAGATTAAAGAGTTCTTCATTTATCTGTTTAAGGGACAATGGACAGAATCATCGTAAGCTGAAAAAACAGCTTCTCAAGTTATCACAGCGTACCTAAATTTGGCAGACTGGAGGTCCTATAAGTATACATATGCAGTTCGTTCACTCTAAGATGTACCTCTCTCTGTCACTTTCCAGTTCATTATTACTATTCAAAAATTCCTAACATATATTAGTACATGGCATATTTTCCAGGATCTAGATGTTTTCATAATAAAATGAAGCACAATAACTACAACCTGTGCAGAGACTTAATTGAGTCTGAGGATTCAGAAGAGCCCTATCGGGCAAATCTTGATTTTGTCACTGAGTAACTCTGGAAACTGAAGTTTCGCTTACTCAAAACAAAGTTTAGACACACATGCAGACAACTGTTGTTTGCACTTGGTTGGCTTAAGTAACACTGTGGGTGAAGACTCGAGATAGGCCGTCCTAATCTACTAGACGTTCATTTCACTATTATTTATTCAATTAGCTGACTCAGGTATACGTACCACACTGCAGGCATAATTCGGCATAGCAGTGAGATACACACTGTGTGAGCTTGGCCCTGAGATCACTGCCCGGCAATTTACTCGACAGCATGATGAACCCCGTCACATGCATGATGTAAGAACTTGATTCATTAGTCCTTGCGCAGTCTCTAAAGCTAAGCATGCACGTCAGCTCGTGGGCGGAACAAACACAGCAGCAAGCTTCCATGTGAGCAGCAGGGAAAGGAAAATGCAGGATGAAGAATTCAGTACAAGGTTGAAGCAAGATGACAGAAACAATCAGGGAGGTAAATGCATTGCTCCAAGGTTAGGCATGCATCTGAGCGAACAAGCAAAAACCTGCCTCTCCCTGCAGGAAAGGAATTCTCCACCCTTCAGGAAAAAAAAAAAAAAAAAAAGAAAAGAGCATTATTCCCAAGTAACAGACTGCATGGAAAAAAAGAAAAGAAAGGGAGTGTCAAAGTGTCAATTTATTTATTCATCAAGCAAGGAAAGTCTGAATAGGTGACATCACCGAGACAGCAAAAGCAAATTTGTTTAAATACAACTGTTTCCAATATATGTTCCTAACTGAATCAGTTCAGATAATCTTGCTATTTTAATACATATTTTACAGGTTTACATTAGATCAACTATGTATTCACACCTGGGTTTTCCCAAAAAAGGACCTCATGGCTAGCTGATTGACGTCTTTTCAGAACACGGACTACATACCATTCCCTAGAAACACAGTGAAAATTTTTCACACTGCATTGCACTATTCAATTGCTCTTCAGCCAGCCAAATGAAATCTTCCACTTTTTGCAATTTGACAAAAGTACATCCAGGTCTCTCAATAGACAGCGATAAATCTGCGCCCCCAACCACCAGTGATAGAAAACCCAGGTTGAGGGATGCCAATCTTTTATAGTTCAATCTGAATGAGAAACTTCCTCTAGTTCATAGACACTTTAGGCATTTCAAAACCTTCTGGCATTCTGAAAGCTTTCTATCTAGTCTGGGAGGGGGGAAGCAAGCTTCATACAAGTGAAAAATAATTGAAAAAAACCCACACAAGGAATAGAACAGATCATTATCTATTTCAAAAGAGTTAACAACTTTTGAAATACTCTGACTTTTCCTTAGAACGTGTGGAACCAAAATTCATGTGCTTCCTGAGAGTTAAACCAGGGGATAAAACTCATCCCAGGCAGATTCTCTGCTCATTTATAGTTAACTATTCCAACAAAAGTCTTTCTCCCAAAGAGAAATGAGACATTCATATAAACTTGTAATTTAGACTGGAAGGAACCTCGAGTCTCTGTTCCCACCTCCTGCTCAATGCAGAGCCAACCTAAAGTCAGATCAGGTTGCTCAGGGCTTTGTTCAGTCAAGTTCTACTTTCACATCAAGTATTCACTGAGTCAGACAGAGAGAGGATGACACCTTAACCCAGCCCAGTTAAGTAAGGATGCGGCAATACATTCCAGTGCTTGACCACTCTCACTGCAAAATAATTTTCCTAATAGCTAATCAAATTTATCTTGCTGTAACTTATGGCCATTACCCTTTGTCTTTTCCCTGTGCATCTCCAAAAAGAGTCTGTTTTCCTTACAGCTACCCATTAGGTAGCTGAAGATAACAGTCAGACCTCCCACCACCACTACCTTTGCCTACTGCTCAAGGCTAAACAAATCCAGCACTTTCTCATGTGCTCCAGTCCCCTAATTGCCTAGGTGGTACTCTCATGGAATTAATCCAGTTTGTCGACACCTTTCTTGTACTAGGTGGCCCTAAACAGGATTCAGATGCAGCTCCAGTATTCAAACTGGTACATAAAAAAAAAACTGTTTATGATAAAATCGTATTTTGTGACATTTGGGATACTCCCTTGAAAAGTTCAAAATTTTCTTAAGACGTAACATCCTCTATTGCAACCTGAGCCATTGACATTAAAACCAAGTTTTAAAGTTAGACAAAAAAAAGTCTGCAATTTTTCACTTAATGAAAAAAACGTAGTGTTAAGGAGTCCAAACAGTTAGGAAATTCGGATTGAATTTGGCTGATGAAAATCACACAGCTTTTAAATATGTTACATATTTTCATTTAAGAAACGTCAAAACAAATAGTTTCAACATTTGTAATAAGTGTAATTTGGGACAATTTTTATAAAAGCCAAGAAGACAAAAGGCTGCAGGTTCATAGCACTGGGCGGGGAGAAGAGAAACCCTCTCATTCAGAAGAGTGGTTGAGGCAGACATAATACTGGGGTTCAAAGCGTTCTGCTGCCTCCAAAGCCCTGAGCTCGTAACGCCCAGAGAGTGCCTTTCACACAATGAAGTCACCCTGATTTTCTCCTGGTGATGTTGTTCCTGTTAATGGGCTGAAGAATTCATTGAGTCAGAAAGGAGGACATCATAGCTACCTGATTAGGGAATTCTAATTGAGACATCCTGGAAGATCTTTTCTCTGATCTGACTGAGAAACTATTTTAAAAAACAATGTAATTTCTAAATTAAACAGTGACAACAGGAGTGATACAAGGCAATCCACAGCAGGATGCCCTGCAGCATGGCAGTCAGTCAGTATTCTTTCCTACAAGCTGAAATACATCTGCTCAAATCTCCTTACGCTAAGAAAGAATCAATGAACAGGTCCTAGACATCCCCAGTAAATCCACTAAGAAGGGGACTACTGAGTCTAAAATGGAGCAAAAGATCTTTCAGTGATTTTGAGAATCTCTGAAAAGTGCCCCAAAAGGATATAATCCATTTTGGGTTGAGTGAGTCATCATCTTCAAATCACAAGGAATTTGTTTTTTCCATTTCATCAGCAAAGTAAAGCAACACAAAAAATATTTTGGATCTATACCAACAGCTTGAATTCTTAATTTTTTGGTTATCAAGATGAAAGAATCAGTTACACAGTCCTAGTACGTACAGTATTAGCTGTTGATACAGAAATGTGAGTACATAAAAAAAAAAGCACCTCTTTTCATCCATTCCTCCTATCAAAGCTCCTAGTAAGATCACCTGGAGACTGAGCTGTCCTCACCCTTCGAGGCATTCTGAAACACCTCCACCCGCAGACTTGCTCCACTGACCTGCTATGCTGCAAGACAGCTGTCTCCGTATGTCTTTTCCATACTGATAGTGCATGCGCAAAATTTGCTGTGAATTATAACCTTAGAAATAAGTCAACTCTCATGAAAATTCGTTCTTGGACTGCCTGAAGAAAAAATGAAGAAAAACAAAAGAAAAAACCCTTACCACGTGGATCCTGAGAGACCAGCAATGTAAGTCGCACAGTCTAAAATTCCTGACTCATAAAGTGCTTTCATGACTCCAGCAAACCCTACCATGGCACGGAATCCACCTCCTGAACCCAGTATTGCTATCACTGGTACCTGCATAGATGAGAAGAATAGCATATCACCACATCAATTCAGATAAAGACTTGAAAGTAGTAAATAAACATTGTTCATCAATCACTGGCAAAACATAACCAGCCTTGTGCAATTAATAGGTCACCATCCAGAGATCCTCACAGCAGAGAAGAAACCTGTGCTTTTCCAAATCTGTGCACAAAAGTTCTAACAAGTCAAAAAGAAGGTATTCTGCAGTCTCTTAGTGGTACATGTGTAAGAGAACAGCAAAATACTTTAATAAAGCACTTTGAGACATGACTTTTAAACACTGTATGTAGAATGGAGCAGTATCGTAATCCCATCTATGAAGTTACCTGTCCCTCTTAGGTTCTCTGGACCCAAGAGGGATGTACAATATCTGTATGTCACTTATTCAGTCCCTTCTGCTTCACAAAAAGCTGGACTGCAGCATGGGAGGAAAGCACTGCTGATCACAAGCAAGGGAAGCCCGGAATCAGCCAGCAGCATGAGAGGTTCTCTCTGCCAAAGTGGAAATCTCACAGAGGGGCAGAGCAAAATTCCTTCCAGCTCCCTATTTATCTTGTTCCTAGGGACCATCAGCAACCAGGAGGTGCAAACACATGGCATGTAACAAAGCACCCGGCATGCAGGGATATAAAGGGAAGCTAAATGTGCCTAGCGCCCGTGCAGGCAAGAAGAAAGGTATGACCGAGGCAACACAAGGGCAGGAGGAAAGCATGAATTCCCAGGAGAGGGGGAGCTGCAAGCTTGCTACTTCTGGCAGTGAGAGAAGTCTCCCCTTCCACCTGCTGCAGCTCTTCGCCTCGGTTCAGAGCCTTGGTGACAGAGAAGGAACAAATGCTGTCGGGGGGATTTTGAACCAGACATCAGAGGTTACTGGGTAAGAAAGTGACAAGTGATGGTGGCTGATGACTCCCTCTTCTGTGGGACACAGGCCTCGGTTCAGAGCCCTGAAGACAGAGAAGGAACAAATGCTGTCGGGGGGATTTTGAACCAGACATCAGAGGTTACTGGGTAAGAAAGTGACAAGTGATGGTGGCTGATGACTCCCTCTTCTGTGGGACACAGGCCAACCTGATTGTTTAGGGAGGTTTGCTGCTTGCCCAGACTCCAGATCCATGATGGCATGGAGAAATGGCTGAGTCTCACCTGGCCTTCCAGATGCTACTCCTCGCTGCTCATCCATGTGGACAATAGTGATACAAGCAGGGGAGACCCTGAGCTTGAGACCCTTGAGATGAGAGATGCTTTGCCCTCTCTTGGAGCAAGAATGAGGGGCAGAGGCACCCAAGGCTGTGGCCTATGGACTTGATCTTTCGAGTCAGGAAGAGGAATGGCTCAAGCAGATGCTATCAGGCTTAGGTGATGTCACTAGTGAGACTCTTGGCTTCTTGACCATGAAGCCTTGGCGTGCTGATGAAGATGGACCATGGGAAGATAAAGAATCCACCTGACCAACAGAGTGAGGAACACCTTCATGAACAGACTTGCTAATTCAATGAGGAAGATTTTAGACTAACTTCAATGACGGGGACCTAAGTGAGCAAAGGGTGCAAATGTTGCAGATGCAAGAGGAATGCATGGGAGAAAGCTAGTAGTGAGACCTGCATGTTCCTGCTCAGAAGGAAGAGTGTTCAGAGCCTTACCTCAAATGTCTCTATATGAATGCACAGAGACACCAAACAAGAAAAATTGGAAGTTCAAGTGCAGTCACAGGTCTATGACACAGTCAGAATGCCACAGACTTGGTGGGACAGCACGCATGCCAGGCACACTGCCACGGATGGGTGGAGATTGGGAAGATAGGCAGGGAAAAAGGGTGCCAGGGGGCTGTGCTCTACGAGAAACCAGCTCCTTGATTGTACAGAACATCAGGATGCAACCAGAGACACATCTTTTGGGAGCTTCTGGGTCATGATCACAAAGAAAGTAACGCTAGGGATGTTGTGGCAGTCAGATTCAGACTGCTGACCATCGGGATGAAGTGGGTAAGGCTTTCTCTAAAAACCAGAAGTCTCCTGATCTGGCTGTGCTCCTCACAGGGGATTTTAATCCCCTGCTGAAAGGTCAGCATTGTGCAAGCCATCTAGGAAGTCTGTAGACTGCCTTGGTGACAATTTCCTAATGCTGGCGGGGCTGACTAATGCTGTACCTCACCTGCTGCTCACAAATAGTAAAAAACCAGGGGCAATCGCGGCCACTGGGAGCTGCTTGGGTTGCAGTCCTCACAGAGTGACTGAGTTCAGGATCAGACCAAAGTTGGGAAGTAAGCATCAGAGTTCGGACTCTGGAATTCACTAAACTGGATTGTTCTGGGACTTGGCAGGCAGAAACCCCTGATTTTCTCTGTTGGCAGTAAACTGAGTGTTGGTAATAGCACTCCTTTCAGAGACAACTGGGACTATCTGACCTCCAGAGGTCCCTTCCAAACAGTATTTCTACGACTCTGTTGTATCGTACTTTTTATTCAGTACGACTTGCTAATAGGGCACAATATTATCACTGCGCAGAATCCTCCATTTTAGGTTCCTTAAAGGCACAGAAAGGTAATGTCTGATTTTTCTGATTCTTCAGGCCAAATAGTAAAATATATATATACACATATATATGTAGTGAAAGTCAAATAATACCACTATGACCCTCCTTAGCTTCCTGTCTACTGAAATAATGTATAGAATTTCAAGTTCAGTTCACTTGCACAGATTTGTGGCACTGCTTCAGACCTTAAAATACAACCAATAAGTCTACAAATTGAGTGAATAAACCACATCAGGTCTCGGCATTAGCAAGTTGTTGCCCCCACGATGCCCTGTCACTTAGAACTCTAATTGCCTGCTTTCTCACAAATTAGAATCTCTTTGAAGAATTTGCCACTTGTAGCAAGATTTCTAAATAAAAATATACTCAGAATTTCTTTAGAATGTCTGTCCTTCTTATCCATAATCCAAAATAGAGAAGATATTAAATTTAGTTATTAAATAAACTATTTAGTTACAAAACCACAGAAATTTTTAAAGCAATCCAAACACCAGCTTTAATCCAAATGGCATCTTTGTGACAGAGCCAAAACCAGTAAAAGTTACTGATCAGAAACAGGAGAGACAAATAATATTTTGGCTAGGAGTTTAAAAACACATTTTATAATAAAAACATCTGATATTACTACATAGCATGAAGACAGTCTCAAATTTACAACCATCTTGCAAAAACTACAGGAGAGGTAATGAGAATTCATGCGTATCTGTACAGCTACTCAGCTACCAAGAGATAGCGAAGTGAGCAAAAGCAGAGTCAGTTACAAATGACACCATATCAAAAACGTATCTACAGGGGTTTTACATTTCTCTCCTTCTTGCTTCCCAGCCTTCTCAGCCCTAACTTCAAAGCTGTTCCCTTCCATTGCATAGTTTCTCGAAGTATCTAGAAAGAAGACAAAATAAAATAAAATAGCAACAGGGGGAAAACTGCCAGCAAAACCTCGACCCTGGATATGGAAGAGCAGACTTGGGGCTGCTGAAGGAGCTAGTCAGTAAGGTCCCCTGGGAATCTGCTTTTGAAGGTATTGGGGTCCATGAACGCTGGTCACTTTTTAAGAGCCAGCTCTTAAGAGTGCAGGGGCAGGCCATTCCAAAGCGTGGGAAGTCAAGCAAGCAGGGCAGAAGGCCAGCTTGGCTGAGCAGGGATCTTCTTCTAGAACTTAGGCAGAAAAGGAAAGCTTACAGACATTGGAAGCAAGGACAGGCAAGAGATGCTGTTCACCGCTGTATGGAGAACATTTGTGTGGCCAAAGCTCAATTACAGTTCAAGCTGGCCACCATTGTGAAGGACAACAAAAAGGGCTTTTTAAAATATGTTAACAGCAAAAGGAGGATCAGAGATAAGATTGATCCGTTACTTGATGGAGTCAGTCACCTCACAAATAGGGACATAGACAAAGCAGAGATATTTAATGCCTTCTTCGCCTCTGTCTCTAACACCGATGATGGACCCTGGAACTGCCAGAGCCTGTGTTGGAAGACCGTGACTGGGGGGATGATAAACTCCCAGCCGACTCTGATCTTGTTTGAGGCTTGCTGTTCCAGCTGGATGCACATAAGTCTATGGGGCCCGATGGGATTCATCCCAGGGTACTGAAAGAGCTGGCTGATGGTATTGTGGGACGTCTCTCCATTATTTTTCAACGGTCTTGGGAGTCTGGAGAGGTCCCAGTCGACTGGAAGCTGGCAAATATTGTCCCAATTTTCAGGAAGGGTAAGAAGGAAGACCCTGGTAACTATAGGCCTGTCAGTCTCACTTCAGTGCCTGGTAAAATTATGGAGAAGGTTATTCTGGGAGTTACTGAAAAACACTTGAGAGACAATGCAGTCATTGATCATAGCCAGCACGGGTTCACGAAGGGAAAGTCCTGCTTAACCAACTTAATTTCCTTTTACGACAAGGTCACCTATCTAGTTGACCAAGGGAAGCCAGTAGATGTGGTGTTCTTTGATCTTAGCAAAGCTTTTGATACTGTCTCTCACAGTATCCTTCTGCATAAACTGTCCAGCACACAGCTAGACAAGTCCATAATACATTGGGTGAGCAACTGGCTGACGGGTTGGGCTCCAAGAGTTACAGTAAATGGAGTTACATCAGGCTGGCGGGCCAGTCACCAGTGGGGTTCCCCAATTTTAGGGCCAGTGCCCTTCAATGTTTTTTTAAATGATCTGGACACAGGAATTGAATGTACATGAAGTGAGTTTGCCGAGGATACTAAACTAGGAGGAGCTGTGGACTCCCTCGAGGGCAGAGAGGCCTTACAGAGAGATCTGGATAGACTGGATAGATTACCAACCGTATGAAATTTAACAAGGGCAAGTGCTGGATTCTCCACCTGGGACAGGGTAATCCTGCTAATACATACAAACTGGGGGACAAGAGGCTGGAGAGCAGCCCCACGGAAAGAGATCTGGGGGTTTGGGTTGATGGCAAGTATAATATGAGTCAACAGTGTGCCC